ACAAGATACTACCACGCTTTAAATTTGACTTTATCCCAGGACAAGTTTACTATACTCTGTTTTCTTTCCGGACCGCACTTATTTAAACTTAATTTAGGTCGCTGGAGCTCAAACATCTGTGTCACACTTTGGACCCAAAACTCGGTAATCTGTCTTTCCTCCATAATGGAGCATTTTCTCACACAAACAGCATGCCATCTCAACCAGCGCAGGAGTGCATCTTTTTGGATCCTTTGAGGGGTTTCAAGTTGTGTCACACTTGTAAAATCTGCTGGGTACAACTGGAGCTCCTTCTGCCTGATGGGTTAAGAGGTTTTCATTTTTAGGCACAAATCTGACGCAATTGGCCATCTTAGTTAGTCTTGAAGAACTTCTAAAATGTGTTTCTCTCTCTCTGTCGATGTTGTTGACTCTACATCTAAACAAACAACAGTCACAACAGAGCACACAGAGGTCTGCATGGCCTGGTATTGTGAAGGCTGTGCTGCCGGTTTGAAGCACAAAGCAGGCCACTGATGTTCAGCTTGTATCATTAAGGAACAAATGGAAACAAAACAAGCACAGCACTAATAACAGAATGAGCTTTTCAAAAAATATCTAAGGCCCTTTTCACAGTGTAACACTTTTAAACATATAACAGATTCAACAAAGGCACAGTTTCTACTTTTATCAAATATATAAACTGTTTATATCGTCTAATAGGCTGGTAGGAATGACTTTGCTCAGAAACTGACCTAAATCATTCAAGCTTACATCTTACTCTCAAACAGAAAACTAACAACTAATCATTATTTTTATCGATTTCAATTTACTATTGTATAGAAATGGGTGCAAACCTCTCCTTTTGGAAGCTGAAACCAGCAGAAGTTTGCAATGTTTCTTAGACATAATCGTTCCCGATTTTTGATTTATCAGAAGACCCCTTTCAAAAACTCCTGATGTTATCAAGTGTCGCTGACAAGACGTGAACTTTGTTACATTTATCCTTAAGAATACCCTAAACATGTGACCCTCTCCGTAACCTTGGCAGCTACTTAAACCCTAATGTGAATCCACTTTTCTGCAGCCAGAGGCACAACGTTTTTGTTGTTAAGCAATGACACAAAAAGCCAACAGTCAGGTTTTGCAGCTCCAGCATGCTGGCAATCTTCCTGGCAACTGTTTAACAGTAGCAGAAGAGCTAAAGTTCACTTGCTACACAAAGATGTTGGACTGCAACAACAATGTGAACATGTGTCTCATTCTCAATACAGCTAGCTTCCTGAAATGTACCTTTACAAGTTCCAGATAAATGTTCCTATTATAACATTATACTCATGGTAGCATAACTGGTAAGGGTCCATTTTTTTCTTTTTTTTTTTAAATGATGGCTCTTTTTCATAAGTAAGTCCCAGTAAGCAATGCCAGTGAGCCAGCATGCACACACCTGTGAGATATCATATCCACTGCCTCATCTAACGCAGCAATTTGACGATTATTTACAAAGTATTTGAAAACAAATTTGTTTCATTTTGAGAAAAGCTATCAAATATAAACAACTAAATCTGTAGTTGTTGATTTATGCTTTGTGGTATACAGTACATTATCAGTACAGTCCATGGCCTTTCCTCCTCTAAATAGATCAACACAATTTGGTACTTATTTTAGTTCACACATCTAGAAAAAGTTAAATTCAGTTTTTCACAGTGGTGCCTGCGCAATATCACACTGATTATTTGTATTGAATAGTTTTTTAAGTATCACAATATACCTACACTCAACTCAATACAAGGACCTGGTACACTACATCACTTTGCTCCAGTTGAAACAGATTTGAATGTGTCTCGCTTTGGATGACTGTTGCAGTGCCTTATTTAACTTGATGACGGTTATCAGTGTGTGTTTTCATAGTAAAGGATTTAGACCAAAGGCTTGTGACGGCTGTGGAGCCATAAAGGACCTGTTCACTCAGATTGAACTGTCTCGTGATAGATTTAAAACTGGCTAAAACCGAATATGTGGTTTCTTGAATGGATATACAGTACATATTAAATTATCAACATCTTTGGGTGTAAATTGTACATAATCTTGACATATGAAAACTGGAAAGTCCATTTGGTTATGATGTATTTGTGAAGGCCTAAAGGAGAGCTAAAAGAAAAAAAAATGGCAGCAACTTTAATAATTAGAGTAGCCATTTTGTGAGCTCAACTGCTTCTTCACTGCTTTAACACAGCTGTTTGTTTTAGATGAGTTAAAGAAACCAGGGTAGCTCTTGAGCTATGGTACATGTAGCTAATGCTGTCGGGGAAATGTAAAATTGTGTGACTTAAAAAGGGTAAATCCAACGAGAAAGAGTTTCCTGAAATGTTGATTATAATTTGCCAAATGAAGCAGCTATAAAACATATTTTAAGTCGATATTTAGCGTGCTGCCTATCTTCATCATCAGGCCTGTACAAAGATGTACATTTTCATGCACTAATAACTGTATAAAAAGTAGACATATTCAAAACAAAATCCTAATGTGGATGCATTGATGTGTGTGATGGTGTGTCAATACTTACACTGTTGTTCATGACATATTGTTAATAATCATATAATGCCTATATTGATATTACCATGCTATTGGACCTAACTCTGCATTTGCACTTGCACTATTAAGATTAATATTAAAATAAATTGCTAGTGTTTATTTTATATAAAATATATATAGTTTAAATTGTATTTTAGCACATAACTGTTAGTCTGTCCGTACCCCTCAGTTCCTCTCTGGCTATGTTTACATTATATTACAGCCAGATCCTAGCGAGCTAAAAGGAAAACATATCTGTTTGTTTAAACTACCGTGTACATTGTTTTACATTGTGTATGTTAGAAATGCTGCATTGTGTTATATTATTATTTGCTGTGCACATCCATGATCAAATATAATGTTAACATTGAACACGTCAGAGCTTCAATGTTCATGCGATTTAAAGTAAAACTGTGCTCACTAAAACTTCTCAAAACTGGACGTGTTTTATTTTTTCTCTAATAGTGGAGGTAAGCTGAGGTTACTGAAATATAGTCATTTTCCATTTGCAAAGTTTTTCTTAAAACATCAGCAGACTACAGTTCAGTATTTCAGCTGTTTAAAAGGATATCTTTCAAATCTGCATTAGTGCAAGGCTGAAAAGTATAGCATCAGTTTGTCGACTGGGAATTGTTGTCCTCCTTTAATGTTGAGCATCAGGGCCATTATCTTTATCGTAGCTTTCCAGGAAAACAAATTGGGAGTAACAGAAAACATCGAAATACTTGTTAGGGATCTACGATATGTTAATCAATGAACATCTCAAGTGTTTTGGATGACTTACATTTTTTTTATTTGGTCGTTTTGAGAACTTTGACAAGATGAAATCAAAGGGACATAATCATTTCATGTTCAGTTAAAAAAAATGTTCTGCAGTTTCACCTTTAAAACAAGACTACTAATAATGACAACAGGCTGAAACAAATGCTTGCAGTCCGTTTTTCTTACTTGTGTGAATGTATGAATAACCTGCCAAAGAGCACGATTGTATTATTTTAACAGTCACAGAGGTGTGTGTGTGTGTGTGTGTGTGTGTGTGTGTGTGTGTGTGTGTGTGTGTGTGTGTGTGTGTGTGTGTGTGTGGTGTGTGGTGTGATGGTGTCTCCCCAGCGCTTTCATTTCACAACCTTCCCGTTACAGACAGTCTCCTCTCTGGAGGACGCCGTCTGTCGTCATCTTTTTTGATTTATGAGTTTAATAAAACGCTGTGTGTGTGTAGCTTCAGGGCCAAACTGTCCCTTACAATCACTCTCAGCAGCTCTCTTTTCACAGCCTCTCCCTCTCTGCGTGGCTGACAATAGCTGTGAATGCGGCTGTGAATGTATTCAGAAGTGCCCTTGGTCAGACTCTTGTCCTTGGCGAGGGCACGTTGTTACTGCCAGTTTGTTAAATTTCAAACTTGCCTTGATGTCCCTGAAGGGACGCGGGGAGCAAAACTTAAAATTACTGCTGCGTAGTTTTGACGGAGACACCGGCCCTCTGTGTGTTTGTGCTGGTGTGTGTGTGTGTGTGTGTGTGTGTGTGTGTGACTGTGTGGTAACTAAGTCTCTGTGTTTCACTAACTCAGCAGAAAATAACAGCATTTCATCCGCAGCTAGATCACCACCATGACCAGACTGAGGGGCTGTAGTTGAGCTAGATATCTGAGTTATGTTCCCAGTGTATTACCTGGTTACACACACAGCCAAATGCAAATCAATAAACAAATAATTGTGTTATTCTAAAAGTCTAAAAATATATATTTTAACCGTCATAGTAACAATCTTTTTGATGAAATACCTCCATTCTGTGAAGATATTGTAGGGTTTACTAATGGTTCTTTAACACATATATTTACATAATGGGTTTTTTATTAGTGATGTAATGTTGATATCATGACCAGGTGGGTATTGGCAACAATAAAATTACATTACTTTACTGTAAAAAAGTAAAACCAGGAACACAAAACGGTTATGCTATATTACAAAGTGACTGTATCCAAAATCTAAGACAATATTGATATATTATTAATATATTGCTAACACTCAAGTTAAGAGCTTGAATATGGATGGTTTTTGAGCTACTACTTTTTAAATACTGATAGGAACAACGTCCTCACTACTATCAAAAACAGAACAAGTGGAAAATAAATGTTGCATTATTAAACACTATGCCATAATAAGAAAGATGAAATTATACTTTTCTTGAAAATGTACATACAAGTTTTACAGATACAGTACATAGATATTAAATAGATGTACAAGGAGCACAACATATAGGAATCTAATGGAGAAACATTCATGCTGAAAACGGTTTGCTTTGAGGAACAGTGTTAATTTTACAACTTATTTTAAATAATTTCAAGTGAAGAAAATGTAAGAAAACAAGTCAAACTTATTTTTTTCTTGACCATTATTTATAATTTCCCAAAAAACACAAACATTGATCAATGAATAATCTATAAATAAGCCTTTTTTTGTACAACAACCATAAATAATACTGCCAGTGTAAAAAAAGAAAATGTTATTATAACAATACAGAAGGCTTCAATTTAAGACATCAACGTTACACAGAAATGCAACATTCTGATAAATACTGTTTCTATCATGTTTAGCTTCTGAACATTAAAAGGCTTAATCTGTGGAGTCCACAAATACCCAGGGTTCATTCCTGCTGTAACACCAACACAGGAAGTAGCTGAGATCTGTATATCTTTCTGAAGATGATTGCATTCTTGATAATACTAATTAAGCCACAGATGAACAACACTGACTCTGACTAACACTGACAGATGAAATATGAAACCAAACACATTCAGCTTCACTACATTTAAACAAAACTTAAACTCTCTATATATCGTTTCTTGTCAATTTAAATCAACTACTGATACTGTAAAAAGAAATCTCAGATCGGGCGCTCAAGTCACATCACATAATAACAACAGTCTGACGGCACATCTGTGATTCCCAGCCACATTTTAACACATTCATAATAATAAAAACAGTTGGCATTTTTTTGTCCATAAAACTAACACCAAGGCCATGTGTCTTTTTACAACTAGGCACAATAACGTGATGAAGCAGAAGAGGTGACGGAAAACTTTGATATTATTTGAGACTGGTTTAGATTTAAATAGTGAGAAAAACTAATCTGCTTTAAAATATACTAACAGTTGGCAAGCAGACACAGTAACACAATCATTTACAACTCTCAATCTGGTTCCTCTGAGCAGGATTTAAGATATATGATATTGTATAATTACAATCCAGATATGGCTACTCATAAACTATGCAGCTGTATGACTCATAACCTACGCAATCTCAGCTGACGGGGTTCATGTCTGATCTGTTTTCATGGATGTTGGATCTCTTCCTTCATTCAAGTTCAGACTATTAGTCCCAACAGAGAGTCATACACCGGTTTTGTAAAACACCTGTGTAAAGTAGTTTAAGAGGAAGTAAAGTAAACATTACCATCCCTTCCCCTCAGGAGTCTAAATCTGACTTTGTTAAACACTGTAGAAGCACAATATTGAGATGTTTCAAATGAAAAGTAATAATTGTTTATCAATGGTGAATAATTCCCTTACATTATATTTAAGACTTTATATCTCAAGCATTGTCGATAATTGTCTAAAGCCCGGTATTCAGCTGATACCGCATAGGATTTATGTTTTGGTTTAAAACTTGGTTTACATGGTGACTGTGATACCTGATGAGATTTAGGGTTTCTAAAGATGAGTGTCAGTGAACATGGTGTGCTCCTTTTTCCCAGATCTTAAGGCTTTGATGGCGTCCACAAACTCATCCTCCTCCACATACTGAAAGAAAACATTGGATCACAGTTAGGACTTGAATAATGTCATGGGTATCATCAGTTACAGAACGTACCGTAAGTGACAGAGAGCATAGAGCAAGTGACACCAGTTGTACCCTGTACTTTTTGACAATTCATTTATTTGAGTGTATATTGTGCACGATATACGGTAGTTATCTTCTAATGCTTACTTCTGCAATTATGCAAAAATCAGTTTGGTATTAAGAATATATTAGACTAAATGAATTCTGAAATGAGCTTTGCTGATTTTCTATTTATTTAAATAAAATCATTTTAACACACTTGCTCTCACCTGTGTAGCTGTATTTGTGTTATCTTAATAACTGTTTGTACATATGTTATCAAGTTATTCTGTATCTTTGACAGAAGATACATTTCCACTGGTTTTGCATGAATATACAAGGGTCAGGTAATGATTACAATTCTACTTGACCTTAGAGTAAATGCATCAACATGTAGTCCTACTTTGTAATTACTGTACTTTAATGGTAATGTTAACAAACTCATTTTACATGCAAATACTTCTGTGCTCACCAGTCCAGAGTCATGTCCCAGTGGGTTGTCCCAGCTTCCTTCCTCCATCATCAGTGACTTCCTGTCGATCAGCTGACTGACGCTGCGGTGCAAGGAATGCTGGGAGTAGGCCAGGTCTGTCTGGCTCGGGACCCTCAGGACAGACATGGGGCTGCCCACTATCTTCGTGTCTGTCAGACCCTAAAGAATATTGATTTTAAATCAGATGGTGATCTCAAAGACCATATTACAAATGGTATACATTATATTTTACTGCAACTCATTTTTTTATGCATAAAGAAGTTTTACATTTGATGAAGAAAAAAACAGATATACATTCACTGTCATGGATTACAGTTTTCCACCACCTGACTCTCCAAATATAATGTTCACGTTACTAATTAAGTGGAAACCAATGGCAGTTAGGTATAGGTATCCACAGTAGGACACACCAAAAGACTGCACAACATACAGTATCTTACCTTTATGATATTGCATGTAATTACACTCACACAAACACACACACATGCACAAACAAAACAGACATGCGTAGAAGGGCATCCACACAAATTCACAATCCCGTACCTCAGTGTAAACATTGAAGCTTTTAAGTACAACGTTGCTGATCTCAACACAGCCTGCTACAGTGTCAAACTGCAGGGGGACAATAAAATACACATTTAGGGTTTGGTCAGTAATTATAGAAAAATGTCTTACTGTGGGACGGTCAGGGAGGAACACAGAGCTGGAGAGATGCTTAGAGCACAACTCAGGACAGGACCCCTGAGAGAGGGAGAGGGGGGGGAGGAGAGAAGACGAGGATGGAGAAAGTAGAATAGGATGGAGGAAAGTCAGAGAAGGCAGGTATAGGAGAAAAAAAGAGACAGAAACAAATACAAAATAATTTAAAAGAGAACAAAGAGAAAAGTAAATGAATTAAAAAAATGCCTTATGTGGGTGGAACTTTAGTAAAGTAGTAGTAGTAAAAATAATACAGTAATTAATCAAACGTTGGATAAAGGTGGAGAATCTTGTTTGAGTAGCAGTGTTAGTACTAGTTATTGGTAATGAGTGATTTGAGAGCTAAAAAAGTTTGATCTCAACAATCGTAAGTATGTCAGATAAAATGTTCCTACTCCTGAAAAACATCTGTATAAACCGATGTCAGAGTTTGGTTTGTGTAAAAAGATTCCTCATCCCAGAACAGCTTGCTTGTTGTTTCAGCCCCCTCTGTTGGAACAAAGATTAGCAAAGAAAGGATTTCTATACCTAAATGTGTAAAATCTGCGTAAAGAGTTTTGAACTTAAATCGAAGAAGGCACTTGTGAAACATTACATTTACAGCTAATTACAGACTCAATACTGTGGGCAATCCTCACAGGAGCAATTTGGGGTGAAGTGTCTTGCCCAGGGAACGACATGCTGACTGCAGTGGGGTTTGAACCTGTGACCCCTTGAGCCGAACAACAACGCTCTATCCACTGCGCCACACGCCTCCCTAACAGTCCTGTTTCCACTTGAGTTTTATCTTCCCTAATGTTTCTCCTGCTTTTACTTTTTTCTAAACCTTACTACCTCTCCCTTCCTCTCTTCTGCCCCTTCAAACACCCTGTCATCGTTCACTGAGCGTCTGTTTCTCGTCTCTTATCGCTCACCGTGTACATCTCTCCTCCAGCCTTCCTGTTCTTCTGCAGCATGACCAGCGGGGGGCGCTCTCTGGCTGAGGGATTCTTCCTCAGGGCTCTAGAGACGATACAACCATTCACACCCTTTTGATGATATTTACCTTCAGATTCAACTTTCTGTTTTTACAAAGAGTTTGTTGTACTATGTTAATAAAATCTCAGATCTATGAATGACTGCCTTAATATGCCTTAAGCCTTTTACATGCTGCATTAAAGTACCTTTGTAGCAGGAGGCCGAGCAGCAGGGCGAGCAGAAACAGACCCAGCAGAGACAACAACAAGATGAACCACAGCTCAGAGTACACTGGTGCCGCTGACATGCTGATGCCTTCTTTACCGCTGTCTTCAGGCTCAACAGGACCTGCAGAGAGAAATGTATAAGTTGCTATTTAACTGCATGTGATTTGACAAGTTTGAAAAAAACATAATGCTATTAAAGTCTCAATTAATGGAAATTGGGGAAAATGCCATGAAAACAGATGGAAAGAGGGATTCATGAATTGCTCAGGAATATTCAGATTTGATTTTATACATTGACTGATTCCAGCAGTGTGTGTGTGTGTGTGTGTGTGCGTGCATGCGTGTGTGTGTGTGTGTGTGTGTGTGTGTGTGTGTGTGTGTGTGTGTGTGTGTGTGTGGTGTGTGTGTGTATGTGTGTGTCACCTAGGCCTGTGGCAGGGCTATATCTGATGGTGGGAGTACTGGCACTGCCACTGTCTGTGGTACACGTCACCTGAAATGACAGAGCTAAGAGCAGAGGGGAAGAAGGGTTACACATTACCTGCCTGAAAGACAATTAAATATTTATTTATTTTGCATTGAAGAATTACATACGTAGACTCAACAAAACAAAAAGTTAACAATCAATAACAACATATAACAATAATCGGCAATAACACATTATAGTTATGGCTCATGCAGAAATCAACCGGAGATTGATTAAAACAATATGTTATCCTTTAACAATAACCTAAATATTACATAAAGAATAGTAGGTGTTAAATTCTCCTGTTAAACAAAGTGAGACCTTATTTGTTCATTAATGTTTTTATTTTAAAATGATTGTTCTAATATATATTAAAATATGTTATTATTTAGCAGTCTAAGAAAACATCCTATTTCTTTTGGAGAACAACATTTTTTGTTTTCAGTAGAAATTGATATTTTCCCCCCAAAAGTTGTTGCTACCTGGTATAAACTTGTAAGTTCTTATATACCGAACGTGCGGTATGTGTAATCTCACTTTTTTGCGAGATGCGTGGAACATGGAGATAGCTGTAGAAGCCGGTGTAGACCCTCAGCTGGCTCTCGGTCACACTGAACTCCTTCAGGTACCCGTTCAGGGAGAAGGACTCGGTCCAGTCCAGACAGATGACTGTCAGGTTGCTGCCCACCGAGAAGGGAGACACATACTGGGGGGCTGGATGGAGAGAGGGAGAGATACAGAGGGTACACAGCAGAACAATTAGACGTGTTTTATATTTCTTATTTTAACTGGCAGTGTTGAGGGATTGAAAAAGGTGTTACCTTCGCTGAGTGTGGTAACAGTCGTCCAGTTGGAGGCAGTGCTGCCCATTTTATTGAAGCAGGCAGCTCTCAGCTGATAGGTGGAGTACGGCTGGAGACCTGCACAGAATAATCCAGTTGCTCATTAATACGCTACACACAACAAAGACAGACATTACCTTATCATGCGTCACTCGGTACTGGAGATTCTGAACTCTAATACTTGTTAGTTCAGATCTTTAGAATTGTATCACTGTGGTTATTATTTCTCCCACTTATTATAGTTTTCTAGTTTTGTTACTGATGAAAAAGTTATTTTCATTTGACATCTTTGTACATTTGAAAAATATCTAGGCTTTACCTGTCACATTGTAGGTCCGCCTTTTCCCAAAGAAACTGATTTCTATTGGTCCTTCAGCACAAGGGAGGGGTACAGGCTGGAGGGGCTGCGGGCAAGGTGATCTGAGATGTAGCTCACAGCTGGCAAATAGAGAGAAAGTGAGTAACAGTGAGAGTTATGGTATGTGTGTTACTGTTCGTGGAGTCTGTGTAAACCATTGTGCAAACAGTTTTTAACAAAAAGAAAATACACTGAACGATGCGAGCTTGTGATTTTTCCGACTCACCTCTCAATGACTCCATTAGGGGCCAGAGGCTCGTCCCACTCCAGCTGAACAGAGCGGGTCGTCAGGGTGACGGGGCGGGGGGGAGGCTGGTGGGGGGGCAGCCAGGGTCTGCAGCTCGCTCAGAAGACCCTGGCTACAGCACTGCCAAGGGATCAAAACAGGGATACAACATCCACAGTTACATATTGTGTGCTTTGTTTTTCTTTATAAATCATGCCTGGATACTTAACTTCTAAACTCCAAAATACTATATATTTTTTCTGTGTATCTGTCAGTGTATCAAGTGTACTGTGCTATTTTGTAACTAGTAGACTAGATTAGCAGCAGACTGAATCTGCAGATGTTATGTCGGAATCCAAATACCTTTAGTTGTCCCACAGAGGGGAAAGCAAGTAAAGAGCCAAAGATAGCTTAGTATTAATTAAGAAGCATGCACAACAATATTAAAGACAAAAGAAGAAATGACACAATTTACAACTGACTATGTACACACATTAGTTCCATTACCTGATAACAGGTGCAGGCCTCTACTCCTACCCAGTACTGGGTGTAGGGACGTAAACCATGGAGTGTCTGCTGATGGGATGTCCCTTCTGAAAGCTTAATGAAGAGGAAAGTGCGAGGGTGAGATATGTTTAAGTTTTGGGAGGTCAGATCATATCAAAGCACATTTTGGATGGAAAGAGAGGGGGAAGAGGGAATAAGTGTGAGTGACACAGAAAAGGGGTTTGTAGGAATCCAGTAAGGAAACTGATTTCAAACAAGTGTGTAATGAAATGCTTTACCAGAGTGTGGTTGTTGTGGTTCACTGAGAACACTCGGTAAAGGCTAACAATCCCGTTGGGTCGTGCTGGAGGTCGGATGTTCACTACTGCTGAGGTCGCTGAAACACGAAGGAAAATAGGTGGGCCTACACCCTCAGGTGGGGCAGGTCCTGTTCTCCCATTGGCCCACGGACTGGCAGACCGACCGGCCGAATTCACCGCCCACACCTGTGTGAACACGCATACATTTGATGCCAACAATAGAAAGAACATCTGAGACAAAATGAGAACCTGACATATACTTTTTCTCCCAGCATTGGACTTTTAGATGCTTTTTATTAACTCTCAATGATGAAAGCTTCCCTTAATTACCCAGTATCCACCAGACCACCAAAAGAAAATAAGTAAATTCATCGGGCCATCGATCAAAACTACCATCAGCAGTGAGAGCAACACCTTTTCAACATGCAACGCAACACGAACATATCTGCATGACAATTACTTTTCACCTTCATCAAGGAGTCACACACACACACACACACACACACACACACACACACACACACACACACACACACACATCTTATTTGTGTGCCTGTGTTGGGTATAATTAGAGGGTGTACACAGCACAGGGTCAGGCAGGGTGGAGATTTGCATGTGTAAGTCATCTGTAGCCTGTCAGAAGTAGTGCAGAAGGCAGATGGATGAGTCTGAGCTTTTCTGTTGAAAGTGTGTGTCTCTGTGTGTGTGTGTGATGTGTTGGTCGCTGTGACGGCGAGTTTTGTCCGTGCACGCCTGTGCATGCAAGTGTGTTAAGAGTGGAATTAACCTCAATAATAGTCAATTAGTCTGTGATCAATCAGACTGATTGATCTAAGTGACAGCACAGATGGACTGAGATGGGAGAGGAGGAAAGAAGAATGGAAGATGGAGAGACTTGGAACAGGGAGGAAGAGGACAGGAGGAAGGGTGGACAGGGCACAAAGAGAGGAGGCAGGAGACATTTTTAGCTTTTCCGTTTTATACTTTTGTGGATACTGCTTGAGTTCTGGAGTCAAGTTTTTTCTCCGTATTTGTAGCAGGGGCCTTATTGTGTGCAGATATGTGATTGCAGCTTTTATAGTCACTTGATAAAATTACTTCACAAAAACAACATTTTAGTGTCTAATCTATTAAACTGAAAAGGGACATCTGCCCTTGAACGCTTATTTGGGGTATTGTTTTTGTGTGTTGACTAGTTTCATCTGGACAAACTGGCCTCGACTCGCCCACTGGCCCATGAAACTGTCTTCTGCTTTTAAAGGGGATGAGAGTGGCTGATGTGATTGTCCATTGTTGTGGCCCGCACTAACTCCACCAGCTCAGACTGCATGTTTACTGCTAATAATGTATTCATCCTGTTCTGCTGTCTTTTTTTTAACTTTTAACCTGCTGCACCTTGTTTGTGTGAAACTCTGTAATAAATGAAGTAATGTAATAGTATCTGCATGTACTTGCAAATAAGTAAACTGAGATTTGATTTCTTCCCTATGTTATGTAATTATGCTAACAATGTGTTATTGTAGCTTTTATGGTTAGATTGTTACCTTGTGATTAAGTACTAAAGCTGTTATTGTTATCACATTTGTAGAACGGTATACCTTTAGAAATGATATAACATGCCAGGTTAGAAAGCCTAAAGAAAAAATACATTACCACTAAATGAAAGAAAAATACATCTACTACACGTCATTTCAAATGGGACTTGACTTGTTGCTTCAAACTGTTTCAGTAGCATTTACTACCTGGCATCACATCAAAATCTAACTGCAGCAATGAAATATTTCTACCCAGCAACAACCATGTTCTTCCCCTGGTAGCAACACATTTAAATCCCCAACATGACGCAAGGCTTTTGGGCTTGATTAAGAAGTTTGTGCCACATAGACAGAACAGAGAAAAAAAGTTTAAAAATAAAGTCAGCCCAGATCATCTTGCCCTTGATCCAGCGCTAAAAGGTAGAACTCATCTCTCCGTCCCTATATCATCTACAGACTTTTTACGGCTTTCTTTCGTCTCTTGTCCTCTCTCCTCCTATTGGGCCGGGTTTTGGCTTATTGGACACAAAATAAAAATACAACCCGTTAGCTGCCATGGCAGCAAATGAGCCACCATGGCAACAAACGACTTCAGGAAGCTACCAGCAAGTATTAAAGCATTTTTATTGGATGGTTTGACTGCGGACTCGATTTGAGCACTCCGATTGGCCGTCGACGCTCCTTGGCGGGTGCATCTACTTGGGGTGAAGGGGCTAAGTTGTGTGAAAGTGGGCAGTAATTAAAACCAAGCATAAAGCTGTCAATAGGAGCTTATGACCCAGTGTAATTAGCCTAATATGATTTCTCTCTCTGCACTGTGGTGTGCTAAACTGAACTGACTTATCGTCCTTGTGTACGTCTGAAACATAGACAGAGAGGAAGAGAGCCAGATAGGTACACAGAGAGATTAACAGCTAAACAAAAATAAAACCAGGCAGAAAAGATAGACGTACCAACAGGTGGCTAGTTTAGAAGAAATGTTGATAGAGAGAGAAAGTATAACTTACTGCTTAGAAATAGAGAGATAAATGATATAATATGAATAGCCAACAAGTTATATTGTTTCTTCGCTTCACCGTCTCTAACACACACACTCACATGTGTTTACGTGCACACACAGAGTAATACTGTGTACATGTGTGTTCACACTTATACAACCACCTTGTCCACGCACCCCAATCCCCCATTGACAAATCCTCAGGGGACGTGTAGCGGTCACCATTAAAAGGTCTTTCCAATACAAGCTCTGTTACCAAGGGGGCTAACAGTTAATTCGATTGGCTGGCTGGTAATCAGGAAGTGGGGTGCTCTGAGGGCCCAGTGATTAATGGTGCTGTTGCCCGCCCGTCATCTCCCAAAGCTCCTCCTCCCTCCCTCCTCCTGTCATAAATTAGGACCCTCGTAAATAAAGACGGCACCACAATCAGGCAAACTCAATCAATTACACAGGTTCTCTGGCCTCAGCTCGTACGTCTGACAGGCAGGAATGCTAATGTTATTGTTGCTTCCAAAGGGCTAGCCTGTCAATTAGCGTAGCAACGCACAGCACAACAGCATGAATATGGACCACACCATTTAACACCTGTCTGATTACATGGTGTTTGTGTTCCTGTGTGTCGGCTTGTATGGTAAGGATAGACTTTATTAGTTGAGGTTTGTATGGGATCTGTGTGTGTGTGTGTCGGGACTTTTGGAAACATTTAATTTAGAAAACAGGCCTCATCGTCTGATGCGTCATTCACATCAGATCTCAACTACAAATGAGTTACTCCACATTAACCTTGTAAATCACAATACAACTTTTCACTCTGTTCCTACAGTCACTGCAGAGGACAATAACTTTTCATATTTATGTATATGCAGAACACGTGTGCTTGTGTTTGTTTTTTCATATCATTTTGTGTTTCACAACAGATTTTGAATTTATTGAATTAGTATTTTCTTGAAAAAATACTGTTCCATTATACAGTCCCATTATGTCTGTAAATTGAAACACACGCTCAAATCTTTGATGATTTTTTTCTCAAACAAATTCACATATAACAACCTCAGGTATGCATCAGAGTTTGATACTAGACTATTTTTAGTAATATCATAAGGAACAATTCCACTTCCCCTCAGATCTTGATAAATATTATTTCAAAATGAATATTTCACAGTCTACTGTATATTTTCAACTTTTTAATGCTGTTTTAATTCTATTTTGAGATGTTTAATTTCTAGTATTGTTTATTTCTACTCTTTAATTTCTACTTATGTGCAATGCCTTCTTTTGTTTCTTATTTTTCAAACATTTCCCAATTTGGGATCAATAAAGTACCTCTTATCCTTATCTTATTGTTTCAATACATTACAGTTTACCAGGAATAACCAGTTGGAATTTGCTGTAATTCTTATTATCAACAAAAACACAAACATAAATGCACAGAGCATTGTACCTGATACTGATATACAGTATATGGCTGGAGTGCTTCATCTCTGCAGGTGGTAGAGGCGTTCCAGTAGACAAGTGTCGCTGCTTCACGTCCCAGGGTATCAGTGGTATGGTCTAGTTTGCGGTACACCTCGTAGTGAAGGACTCTACCATTAGGCTGAGCTGGAGGGGACCAGGTGAGTAGAAAGGTGGTCTGCAGGCCTGTGTGTGCGTCAGGCTGGAGGTCTAACAGTGGCGCTGTTTGTCCAGCAGGGGGAGCCTCCAGAGTGAGTACAGAGGACCAGTCACTGGCGGAGCAGCCGAGCGCTGTGCAAGCCTCCACCCTCACCTCATACCTACACAGGCACATGTTTTGAAATGTTAGAATTATTTTGTTGTGAAATATTGAATTAGATGCTTAAAAAACATCAACATCTTGGCAATCAAAGACAGTGGTACTGGTGTACTGATCTAAGTAGGACCTAAATACTGAAAACATGAAGAATAAGAGCTCAGCAAGTGAAGCAACTGTTCATTCAAAATCACTCTATTGACAGCATGTTTGAGATAATGTCTTTCTCAAACGAATATCTATTTAACCCGCATTACTCGGTAATTAATTTGGAAAAAACGTTTTTTTTGGAGAGAAAATAATTGAGATGAAGGAGAGGAGTGAGGGGGAGAAAAAGAGAGGGAAGGTGATGAAGATGAGTTGAATGGATAGAAGGTCATCAGAGAGGGGGAGCGATCTATAGATGATAAGGTTGATGAGCTTTTATTATCTGAATCTTATCACCACATACACACTCTCACACATACACAACCACACTGACACACAGGTATAGAAACGCCCACACTTACACATGCATACGCACCCTTACACAAACAGACATACGCGCATATACTATATTTTTTTGTTTATACTGAACTGTCACATGTTGGGTGCATGACTACTGCTTAAAGGGTGACTCACTTTTATTGACCAAAGTCTCTCTCTAATTCCTACTTTGTAAGATCACAACAATGTCCTTTTGACAGCCTGTTTGAGAGGTTGTTTTTCAACAAGATATTTGCATTTAGCTAAGTGCATTAGTATTCTAATTTATTGCACAGGCTTCAGAAATACAGCATTTGACTTATTTATTAATTATTATTAAGTATTCAAGGGTCAACACTGCGGTAAGAACCCCACAGTGATGTTCATCTTTTATACTTTACCTAAGATTATTTTTCATTTGAAGGCATGTTGTATAAATATTTAAACATACTGGTTTGGGGCTTTTTTCCGTCTTTCTCCTATTTAGTGAATGATTTTAGGAAATGTAAGGTTATTATTGATTAAAATAATAATCCAATGAACAGAGCTCTGCTATTTACTGTTCAAAGAGTCAACCAAAATGTTTTGTTTTTTGCTACCAATAGATGGCACTATGTTCCCTTGCTTCTCATATTTTCTTCATTTCAGTTTTTATAACACAAGGGGATAGGAAATAGCTTTAAAATATTGTATCTTGGCTCTATGTATTAACCAAAAAAAACGTACACATTGTTTTGTCTTATATATGTGCCATATATCAAATGTATAAACTGCTGCATAAAAACCTAAATGTAAACAGTGGTGGAGATCTGTTGTGAGTGACCTGTGGTAAGGAGCCAGCCCATGCAGAGTGGTGTGTCGAGCAGAGAAGTCCTCGTCCTCTGGAGTGAACACAGTGCTGGAGCTCCTGAGATGGACTGGATCTCTCTGATGCACGGTGTAACTCAAAATGTCTCCATTGGGACGGGCCGGAGTACTCCACACTACCCGCAACTGGAAACAACATAAACACTTCTTAACATCGATATAAAGACAGTAGGGGGATAAATCTCAGCATTAGTGATGACATGATCCAGCTGTTACTTATATGGACTGAAGAGATGGATGACTACCTGGCTTGGTCCCAGAGGTGTCAGTGTGGGCAGACCGACCCCAGAAGGAGCTGACGGGGGAGTCTTTGCTGAGGCTGCCGCGCTGCTCGCTGCACCTTTACTGTTGTTGGCCCTCACAACGTAGCTGTATTCAACGCTTGGCAGAAGTGTAAAGTCGTGGTAGTGGGTCTCTGTGCCAACATAGATAACTTCACCATCTCTGCGGAGTTCATATCCCGTGATGATGCCATTAGGGTGCTCTGGTTGTCTCCAGCTAACCTCCACTGACTCTGGACCAGTGACCTTAAAGGGAAGTTGAAAGGTCACGTTAAACAGAGCTATCAGTAGTGTAAGAACAATTAAAACTCCACAAATCTCCCCACAATTTTGTACTTGTTTTATAGATGATTCAATAATCAGTGCTTATGAGGTTTGGCACATTTGTACAAGAGGCTAAGTTATATTGACTTTGGATGATTGATATTTCAAAGTCGAATTTTCTTGATTCTTTCTGGACTATAATGAAAATATTTAGGTACTGCATAGGTTTTAATTGAATGTCTAAAGTAAGCAAACACACCTTAAGAGTCGGGGGAATTAAGCCAGTGGGAGGAGCCTCCCCGGTCACAACTGATTTTCGGTCGCTGCTGGTGCACCCACCGCTGGTACAAGCTGAAAGGACCAGATGATATGACGTGTGTGGCTGCAGATCAGACAACACTTTATGTAGGTTTCTCCCACGATACGTTTCCTGGTTGTTCAGTTTCAGCACATATTCAGTGACCTCTCCATTCTGTGTCAGTGGTTTACTCCAGGAAATGTTCAAACTGTTGGATGTGATGCTGTCCACTGCGGGAGCTTCAACTGTCGCAGGTGGAGCCTGCAGAGTTGTGATGTTTGTGTGAGGACTGTTGATGCATCCTTCAGACGTGCAGGCTATAATGGAGTAGCTGTAGAAATTAATAGAATAGAATCAAAGTTTAATCATTGTTTGAAAAAGTTACAAGTTTGTTCATGGTTGTTATTTCCATAAGCAAGCTTTAGGTTAGTTAATTTGAGAAACACAATGGTATGAGTAAAAGCAAGCAGTACCTATATGTTGAAAATGGCAGGAGGTCTTCGTCGGTGTAGCTGAGCACAGTAGGGTCAAAACTAAAGGAGAAGCTGACATTGTTTCTCTGAATCCTGTAGGACTGAAGTATCCCATTGGGCTCCAAAGGGGGAGACCAGGCAACCAACACCTTACTGGGTTGGCCTTGGAGGTGACTCACTGTCGGGGGAGCCAGACCTCGAGGGGAAGCCTGTTTGGTTGTCACGGTTACCCAGGGGCTGCGGGTGTGTCCGGCAGGGTTGTGAGTCTGGACGCTGAACTCGTACCGTGTCCAGGGACGCAGACCAGTCACTGTATACGAGAAGCTGTCAGCATGTTGTGGGGATGATTCTCTGAACAGCACCTGTTAGAGAAAGCCGGGGATGATTAAGGTTATGTGGTACAAACACAATATTGATTTAAAAACTCTCATTCATATGGATATTGGTGGCACCTCGTTATTCTTTCAGTGTAAAGAGAAATAGTAAATGTTACCATGAACTGTCTTTAATTGAACCTACCTTTCCTTTGTCAACATCGTCTTCATTACTTCTTTCCCTGCCAAATTCCTCCAGACTTCTCCCAATTAAAGAATACTCTCCGATTGGCCCGTTGGTCTGAGAGGGAGGGCCCCAGGTAAGGGACACACGGTCTGGGCCCACCAAGAGAGGCCTGGGAGGGGGCTGGGAAGCAGGTGGAGCTGCTGCGGTGGTGACATGCTGGGGAGGGGAGCGTGTGCAGCCTGATAAGGTGCAAGCTTCAAGAGTCAAAGTATACGTGGTCCATGGCTCCAAACGGCGAAACAGGAAGTTGCGTGATAAGCCGCTGAATTCCAAGTTCCCCTCACTGTACAAGTTGTACATCTGGAAAGGGAGCATGGGAAAGCAGTGGAGGGGAAATAAAAGTATGCAGTCAGTGGGAGAGAAGGAGAGGAACAGAAGTTATATTATGACAAAGTGGAAACAGAGGAGGGACAAAGATGCCAAGCAGATAGAGGGAAAAAGACATCAGAGAAGAACAGAAAAATAGTCTTTCTGTTATATGGTAGCGGCACAGATGCAGGCCTATTGCTGTGAGTGTAGTGTGTATTAGAATATATGTAAAGTGTGTGCTTATATAGCTCAATCACATGGGTCAATGTTGTGTCTTGTACGTTTGTAACCTTAGTGATTATAATCAACTCGCTAGCTTTTGTATGTGTGTCTATGTATAATATTGGTATATATTGGATGTTTCTTCTTGTGACACTGAGGAGCACCTTGCATCACGTGATCTGCTCAATTCTGTGTTTACACTCGTGTACGTGTTCTGTGTCTTTGTACTGTGTTTTGGAGGTACCGTGATAATTCCATTTGGAGCACGTGGCTGATCCCAGCTCAGCAGTAAGGCCCTGCCCTGCTCTCTCTGCTCCACCGTGAAGTTAGCCAGGCCAGCAGGAGAAGCCTCCAGAGTCCTGATGGAGACCCAGGGACTGGACACGCTACCTGAAGGGTTACACATATGTTCTTTGCTCAATGAATGTTTCAATGGTCGGAGCTGATATTATTCATTCTTGATTAGGGGTGACATACCAGAATTGAGGATATTTAAAATATGAAACATTGATAAAATGGTAATAATACACTTATAGTAATAATAACTCAGTGCTTCTCAAATGATCTCTTCTTCTTTCCGTTCTCGCTTTGCCTCCCTCTCCAAATGACCGACACACAAATGAATGCAATTAATTAATTTGCCAAAAAAAAAGACAAAAAGCACAACAAACAACCAACATTTAACGCTTTTTTAAATGTTCTGTAGATGTTGCAATCATTTTGTTATTGTGGATAATCCTGTAGTGAAAATCTGATATTGTGACAGCCTTATTTTTGATATTTTAAATGAGTTATTGACCATCTTCAACTTACCTGCGTCGTTCACAGCTTCCACTCGTAGACTATACTGAGTGTACGGTTCAAGACCATAGACTGTTACTTCTAAGACTGAACCCTGAAAAGGAAAGAGAGACAACGGTGTCATACGATGTGATATATGACATTATATATATAGAGACAAAATGAAATATAAGAAAATTAGAATGAGAAAAATGTAGGAGATTAGGATTTGATGCAGATAGTTATAGGGCAAAGAGATATAAGAGAGAAAAGAGTGAAGAAAAAGGAACGATTTGGCACGAGTTGAAAGGAGAAAGAAAACAGAGCGGCGATTGAAAGGGACACAGCAAAGTGAGGAGCATGCCACAGCAAGAGAAGAGAGCGAGTTAGTTACACAAACAAATCCTGCATGAATAAAAACCAGTGCATCACTCATTAAAATGGGGAATGAAAAGGAACACTGAAACAATGGCGAGCTAAGATGACCTGACATGGGATTTGTGATATCAACATTTCACCATACAGGCTCTGCCGTGGTAAAGTAAGTACACACCAGAGAAGTGGCAGAGACAGAGAGACTGGCAGGCAGACGGCCGTCCCTCATGGGTGAATTCAAAGCTTCCAGATTGAGTGTTTATGTCACACATGCACCCTTTCATATCACACACACACACACACAACACACACAGACACACACACACACACACACACACACACACACACACACACACACACACACACACACACACACACACACACACACACACACACACACACACACACACACACACACACACACACACACACACACACACACGGAGTGGGTCTGCCAGTAGCTTTAGGCAGTGGGACCCAGCCCAACACCCTGGCAGACACAGGGGCAGTGTGTTTGTGTAAGTGTGTGTGTGTGTTTGTGTGTCTGTGTGTGTTATACAGTGGGAACACCATTTACTAATTGATAAGAGACACACTGTTGTTTGAAAAGGCCCTGGTGTGCAATGACATGGTAGTGAGGGAGCACTAGTCTCCGGGACTGCCTGTTTGTTTGTTTATGACTGTGAGCTCTAAAGCAGCTATGAGACTGATGTTTATGTGTGTGTGTATGTGTGTGTGTGTGGGTGTGTGTTTTTGTTTGTGTGTGAACATACTTCTGTGCTTGTACAACATAGCAGGCTATATTTTTTTCATGGGTTGAGTTTGCAGTTTTGAAAAGCTTGTCTATTCAGGACTGTATTTCACATAAGCAAGCATATGTAAAGAGATTAACTGGTAACCAACTTCAATGCAACGGCAAGAGGATCAAAAAGGCTCCAATAGAAACTGAATCAAATGAAAACCCTGACAAATCACCGTAGCGTGGCACGAAGGATGAACTGTCTGAACATCAACAGAAAGCATGTATTCACTGTTTTCATGTCTGGGAGCCAACGTGTTTTTCATCCACAGTAAAATAGGATTAATAAGCCCCTAGACACGAGCTAAATCCTCCTGCAAATCAGAGCACTTCTCAGTAAAAGAGGGAGGGAGGGAGGGACGCAAAGAGAGAGACACAGGGATGGAGAGATTGAAAGGGAAAGGGGCGGTGGTAGTGAGAAATTAGGGCAGAAAGAAATAGAGGAAAGATCGGAATAAAATTAAGTATACATAAGTAAGGCGATGTAGGACAGAGAATAGGAAAAGAGGGATATAAAAGGGAACAAGGTGAGAAAGTTAAAGAATAGACAGAAGGTTGGGGGTGTGAGAAAGAGTAAGGCAGAGAGAGATTGAGT